TCTCGAGAGCATCATCTGGTCTCTTGTCTGAATAAGTTGAAATTATTGCTTTCTTTAGAGGGAGGAAAATTACACAACGTGACTTTAGAAAGAAAATTGTTTCAAGGGTCATAAAATGTTGACGTACTAAGAGTGGTTCTCTATTTTTTTTCCTTAATTTAGAAATGGTTACAGAAAGTGGTGTGTCAATTTTTAAAAGAGAGTATCGAAGTGCCAAAAAAAAATTTACCCGCACGCACTTGATATCCGTCTTGCATTTAGCTTCTCTGAAAATTTGAAAATGCGCAAGTTTCTGAATCCCCGTACAATCATTACTTTTTTTGTCATTTCTGCAAATTGAAATACAGCACTGCATCCCCGCGAATTTGAGAAACACGCCAATTGCAGAAATTTTGTATGGCTAATTGGATGCCAGTGAAGAAGAATGACTTGTCTGCCATGATTATTTTTTTTCTGAAATCATCGCGAATTTCCGAATTCAGTATCTGAAAATGATTTTTCAATGAGAAAGAAGTAAGAAAAATTGCAAGACTGTCTTTTTTTCTTGAATCGAAGTTCGTACATGGTTTCATCGGATTTTAAAATTGCTGGATTTTATCCAGATGAAAAATTGGGGAAAAAAAACTACTGTTGCTTTTAATCCAAATCAACACGCTTCACTTGCGCCTTTTTGCATTTTTTTTTGCATGACCAAAAGGCTGAATGAGGTTCTTCTTTTTTTTCGGAAGAGAGGATAATTTCCTTGAATGTATTTGAATGAAGATCATAACTTGATATAATCGTTAATTGTCATTTGTATGAATGATTGATTGATTTAATTTGTTTTTTCTTCTTTTCTTCAGACGATGACCGTGGAGATGGTGGTGGGCCCTGGTGCGAGTTGGCGTATTGGGAAGAGCGAACCCGGATCGGGCCGGTGATCCCGATCGCGGAAAGTTGGAACAACGTGTTTGGCTGGCACGACGGGGCCCGGATGTTGGTACCCGGGCGGAGGAGCATTTCCCTGCAGGCAGTGGCGGCCAAGCATCACCCGAACCCGTCCGACCAGGTTCTGCAGGCCCGCTCCAAAATTGGCGCAGGTACGTGACGACTTGTGTTTCTGGTGTTTTTAACGTGAGGAAGCAGGCACTTGGAAAGTATCAAATTGAAGAAAAAATATATACTGTATATGTATACAAAACAGTATATATTTATTGAGACACTTGAGGGAGGCATACTGAGACATTTTAATTTTGTTTTCCTGTTGAAATAAAGTTGAACTTCGAAAACTCAAGCCTCCATATTTTGAACGAATTTTTCGCTAGTCCCGTACTAAAACTCCCTTAGAAGCAATCCATTGAAAAACTCCCAAACTCGAAGGCCTTCTTCCTCAAGCCTCCAAAATTCGAATTTTTCTGAAGGCCTTTTGGTTTTTTTTTTTTTGCACTGAGAAGAGAAAAGCAATAGGAATGAAACTCGACGCATTTTTAAAAGAAAGTGAAAGACTAATTGGGCAAATAAACCCTTGCCTCCAAGTTCAGTATCTCGTCAACTCATTCAAGAAGCATTTCAAGGCCCAGAATATCATCATTTACAATTTCATGCAATTCTTCTCTTTCCCTCAAACGAAAATACTTGTTCTCCTAATTTTGCCTGTCCCTTGAAATTCGACTTGGAGAGGTCCGACTGTGTTACGAACACAATCTCTTAAATTAATAAAAATGGTTAAAATATTTTTTTTAAATTGACCACATTTTTGAAAAATCTTCCATGTCACTGATGAGGATGAAATTCAATTTATGTTGTCCTCGAGTAATTGGTGAATTTCTTCTTTAAAAAATGTTAAATTTGTGGTTTTACAATGATCCATCTCGGTACTGCCTTGATTTATTTATTTTCACTTCGAAAATAACGAATGATTAAATAACTAAAATCGATTGATTAATTTGCAGGAATCAGCATCAGCAGGGACGAGGAACGCGGCGACGTGTGGCTGTACAACGTGAGCAAGCAGCCGGTGTTCCTGGCCCCGTCGACACTGTCGCCGTGTCGGGCCAGGGCCATAGCTGTCCACCGCCTGGCCCCGGGCTACTGCGTCAAGGCCTATGACAGGGCCACGGCGGAATGCTATCGACGCCTCGTCATTGAGTCGGACGACGCCGAGGAGCCACTGGACACTTCCGACAGCAGTCGTGGCGGCGGCGGCGGCGGTCGGGCTACTGCGTCAAGGCCTATGACAGGGCCACGGCGGAATGCTATCGACGCCTCGTCATTGAGTCGGACGACGCCGAGGAGCCACTGGACACTTCCGACAGCAGTCGTGGCGGCGGCGGCGGCGGTGATTCGCCGCCCATCGAGATTATCCCCATCAGTTTCGGCAAAGGATGGGGACCCAAGTACTCGAGACGGGACGTGGTCAGTTGTCCGTGTTGGCTCGAGATTCGGCTGAGAGACGGACAGCGATGATGAGAGAGGGATCCTTCCGTCGTCGAGGATCCCTGACAGTGATATCTTCTTTGGACAAAAAGAAACGTGTTTTTTTTCCTCGTTTTTTTTAATGATTAAAGTTTGATGGCATCTTTATTTCCATTTGTTGGTTCCCTCTCTCGATCGCGATCAATTTGTTCAGCAGTGCTGTCTATGCTTGTGTGTCGTTTTCTGCTGGTGTGCCAATCAATCAGAAAAGTCTCTTGAAGAGTTGCAACTTTTTGAGCAAGAGAGAAAGAGTGAGGGAAAGAAAGTTCAATCTGGAAGGTTTTAACGATTTGTTGGTTGCGTGACTGACTTGAAGATATAATGCTGGAGAAAAAAAAAAGAAAGTCGATGCATTTAGATGTTGGAATTCCTGTTCTGCAGAAAAAAACAGAGTGATTTTTTTATATTATTCTTCATCAAAAAAACGTCTCTTGATGATGAATCCAATTTTTAAAAAAAGAGAGAGAGAAAAAAGTCAATCGGAGAGGTGCTAACATTTTTCGCTCGCTGCGTGACTGAAGGTGTAAAACTTGCTGATTATTTGTTTCGGAGTTGGCTTGGAATTGTTTTTTTTTATGACTTTTTTTTCTGGGCGGATTATTCAGGTTCAAAAGTCGGCTAATTTGCTCTGTTTCTTTCTCGTTTTTTTATTTCTTTTCATTAAATGGTGTTCATTGATGTCTGCTAACTTACCACTGATGGACAAAGAACTTTGTGCTTTTTTTCTGCATCAAATGCCGTCCCTGCGATTTTTGGCGTGGGCATGTGTTATTACCATATCTATTTCGTAAACTCGCTACTTCAGTGTGATGCCATAGCAGATAAAATGGTGATTTTTTTTTTGAAAGACCTTCGCTGCTTTTTAAAGTGGTGGGAAAGACACTTCAGTGCAGTTCTTATGTCGCGCAGGTCAGCCCATTTTTGATGAAATTGTAAGTTGTTTTATAAAAGAAAGAAAAACCGTTTGGATTCTGGAATTTGGCAGAATTTATTCACTTATGTTTTTTTCGGAGAATTCCGCGCTATTTACTGGATTATGTGAGCATGAGATACGAGGGTTGGTTCATACTGTATATTTTTGTAGCTCTTGCGCTTTTTTTTTGTTTTGTTTTGTTTGATGGAGTTGAGCGTAATTTTCACATACTTGACGTACTGCTTTTCATCATTTTCTGATGCCTGTTTCAATTTGGCTACTTTTTTAAGAAGATGAAATTTCCCTTCATCGGCGTGAGGAAATGAGGTTCGAGTGCCGCAATTCACGTGTTTTAAGAATTGGCAGGCGAAAAAAATGTCGAAAGATCTCAGATCTGATTCAAATTTTTCCAGTCCTGAGAATTTCGTCTGATCTTGTGTAAGTTTTTGTGTGAGTGATGCTAAATGCAAAGGTTACCTGCAAAACAGTTGATTGGCTGCAGCGAAAGAAAATTTATGGCGAAGAAACGAAGGTTTAAGATTAGATTTTGATCCCGCAGTGCTTTTAAGATTTCTTTTATCAAGAAATCTTCCGTACACAAAGAAACTTCATATCTATTTTCGACTTATGAACCATTCCTCGTATTTTTACGTTTATGGGGATTGAAAATTGTAATATTTTTTTCCCTCTTTTTTTGACAGAAAGCATTTGGTTGATGAAAGCGACAACCTACACCAACCTTAAGCGACCATAAGAAAGCTTTGTAAAAAGTTTCATACTACTATTACTAGTTTCTGCCAAAACTGAAGATCGTAACTAAAAAGAGTAACACATATGACATAACAACAAGGTCACGAATTTTTCTTCTCTGCTGAGACCCGCGATTCTTCCACGAGTCCGATGAACTTCTTGACATGGTCCGAAAGCAACTCGGGTTCTTCAAATGCCGCAAAATGACCCCCTCTGGGCATAACTTGATACGACACGATGTTCTTGAACTTGTCAGCCAAGAAAGTCTCTGGATGCATGAAGATTTCATGAGGGAAAACAGCTGCACCGTAGGGAACATGGCAAGGAATCCTATTGGGGGGGAAATATGAATGAAATTGTGTTGGAAGTCATTCTCTGTGCGAAAATGTTTTCCTTACTCGTCAATGGCGTAACCGAGATTCCTGATGTTCATGGACTCGGAGTAAAGACGCATGGAAGTTGTGATGGAGTTGGTGACCCAGTAGACCATGACATTGGTCAGCATGTCATCCAGAGAGTAATTGACCTCGGACTCCAGGGGTGGTAGTCCTGCTAAGGAGTCGAGGTTCAACCAGGTCCACGACTTAAAGAGGTACTACATCCGTCGATCAGGTTCACCTAGTAATGAGTTACGGTGTGGATGTTTTTTTTTCCGTAGGTCAGTACGCTGACTCTGCTTTGGAGTGGTACTCCTTGGTATCATGCATTTGACCCCATTCAATGTACCAAGAAAGAAGGAAAATGTGGAAAATTGACATTTTTGGGCTGGAAGGAATTAGGGTAGATTATGAAGAAGACCTGGGTTTCAGATGATTCAGTGAACAGAAAACTTATGCTTCCACTTGGAACATTTGTTTGTGAGGTAGGGTGCAGAATCACAAAAGGAATGAAGGAGTATTGTAGTACAGTTGAACATTGGTAACTTGAACCTCCATAAGTCAATTTTTTTCAAGTCCCTGCCCAAATCCCCTTAGAAACAAAAATGCATTAAAAACCTCCCTAATTCAAAGGCTTTTCCTCACAAACCTCCATAACTTGAATTTTCTGAAGCCTTTTGGCGTATTATTTTCTTAACACAAGAAAGAGAAAAGTAAATTGATGTGTTTTGAAATGATGAAAGAAAAACTAATTGGGCAAATGAACCCCTGCCTCCAAGGTCATCATCTTGACAACTCATTCAGGAAGCAATTTCAGGTCCAGAATATCACCATTTACAATTTCCTGCAATTCTTTTATGTTTCCCACAACAAAAATGCTCGTTTCCCTAACTAAAAACCTCCTTGACTCAAAACCTCTTCCAGTTTAAATTTTGTGCTAGTCCCATTTGACTTCAAGAGGTTGGACTGTATAATATTTTTACAGTTCTTGTTATATAAAAGTACTGCTTATAAAAATCCTATTTTGGTCCAAGTCCAACAACCACAATTTTATTTTAACTTCGTTTTAAGAAAGCTTTTTCAAGGTTCCATTAGAAGCTTCATTGTAATTAGATTCTATTGTATAACAAATCTTGTTGTGAAATCTTTGCCAAGAACAATTGCTAAGGTCAGAGCAGGTTTGCTGGAATCTTTCCTGGGTATTCCTCTAACAGATTTTTAATCAAGTTTTAAAATTTATTTTCTGGGTCATAGTGACTTTGTTGTAACAAGATTTTATTATACAAATGTGCAATGCAAAATGTCTCACCAACAGTATCAGGTTTGGTGGACTGCAAGTGCATGTACCCAAACTCCAACATCAAGGTCTTGAGCTTTTCTCCCATGGGGAACATCATGAAGACTTGCTCTGGGTCCATGAACCAGGATTTGGGAAGAATGGCTGCAAGACCCCAGTTCAAGAAATTCCTTCCAGATGCCACAGCAGCCATGTTCACATGTGCCCCTAGAATCCTATTCAAGGACATTATACATCATGGAGAAGGTTGACCTGGTTTCTGCCTTTATTAGAGAGTCTTACCTATCTGGATACAGGGTAGACATGATGTTTGTGATGGCAGCTCCCCAGTCTCCACCCTGAAGGTAGTACTTGTCAAACTTGAGCCTGGTCATCAGATTGTTCATGACAATGGCAACCTCTGTGTCTCCAAGTCCTGGTTTGGAAGCTGGATCAGAGAAGCCATAGCCTGGCAAGCTGGGAATAATAAGCTCCAGATCAAAGGGTGAATCTGAGGTGTCCATCAAAAGTGGGATTGCCTTCTGGAACTCAACAAAACTACCTGGCCAGCCATGAAGCAGCAACAGTGGCAACACAGGTTTCTGAAAATGAATTTAAAAAATATTTTCAATGCTGTCCATATTATGCTCTGAATTTTGTATTACAGTACAAGTGATAATTAGATCTTTTCTACATAATGTGTATACAGTGGCCCCCTGCCTAACAGACATCCCGTGTAAGGGATTTTTGCTGAACAGACCAGCTCTGCAAGCAGTTTTTCCTCCTGCCCAACAGACAAAATCCGCCAAACAGACTTATTTTGGTTTAAAATTAGTGTAGAAAATTGAAATTTTTTATTTTTATGTAATTGAATTTGTGTAAAGGACTTTTTGTCTAACAGACTTGCCCCTTGCATGAATCAAGTCCGTTAGACGGGGGTTGACTGTATATCTTCAGTTCTTCAGGGCTTGTTCAAAATAAATCACAATAACGTACTGTGCTACAAGTGCCAACTTATCATTTATTTGTGCTTCACTAAGGCATATTTACATTGCTACTTAGTAACATTTTGGAAATCCTGAAATTTCTCCTATTCCTGTACCTATATGATAAAATATCACTTAATAGCCAACTTTTAGGGGTCTGAAGATTTTTGTGATACAATAATTTGATAAATTTGTTATTGATGGATTATTGTTCAAAAAGCATCTGCATTTTCTTCCAATTGTTGAAATAGTATTTAGCTTGTGTGAGGCAAAGTTGGGGTATTTTTGCAAAATTGTGTGCCACTGAGCACTGGAAATCTACAAAAATCCTAATTTTGTACCAAGGCCCAAGTCAGGAAAAAGTCCAATATATTTTTCATAATCCTGCTGTTGAATGAAAAATTAAAAAATCCCTCTCCAGGTGGAATTTTTTCCTGGATTCCTAGCTAAAGATTTGTACTGGAGAATCCTGGAAAAATAGAAAATTTGCCTCCTGGATTTTTCCTGACTTGGGCCTCCTCAACCTGGGAGCATTTCAGTGACATTGGGTCAAACTGAAATGCAATGACCCCAAAAAAATAAACTCCACTGCTCAAACAAGAAGAACCCTCCTCTGTCCAAGGGTTAAATCAAAGAGTCTTTGACTAAATATCGGATTGAAGTTCATTGGCAGAATTGCTTGTGTGCTGAAATCTCTGATTTAGTAATTACCAGTGTTTTGAAGTTCAAGACTATTTTCACAAATAATATTTATTTAGTATAAAATGCTTATGACATTGATTTGTACTTTTGTTTAGTTATGTTCCAGCAGTGGTGGAAGATTGCAACTCACATCATTGGTCACAGTTCTGCCAAAATCACTGGGCTTGATCCTTTGGAAATGAATGTCCATTCCATTGATTTGTGTTTTGAACTGAGGATATTTGTTGAGCTTTTCTTGTTCCTTTCCCCAGCTATAGTTCTCTAGCCAATGTTTCCTCACTTTTGAAAGGTAATCTGTATTGAATCCATACTCAAAGCCCACATCTTCCAAAGGTTTTCTCAGTCGACTGGGCAATTCGAGTCTGGCTTTCCAGTCGTCCAGAATCTGCAAAGGAAAAATAATCAATGGATGAAATTAAGAATAAACTATGCAAAATTGGACTCACGTCAGCACTGATGTCAATTTTGAAATCCCGTATGGATTCATCAACTGACTTTGGCTTAATCCCGGGTCCAAACCAGAAATCTGGGTCAAATTCCGGCAAATCTGGCACATGGTGCAAACGCTGATGCACGTATAACCCGATAAATGCAAAAAAGATTGAAATGACGCCAGCGAATTTCCACCCAGCAAACTGGCTTTTATCACTGCGAATCTGGAGTTCATTGGCTTTCTTTGGCGCCATTTCAAACAATTTCCTGTTTAAAAGCAAAAAAAAAATTATACAAGCAATATGTATATGTGAAAATAGAAAAGTAACTGAACTAATGATGGAAAAAAAATCACCAATACTGTAGTCGATTTATTTTAAAAATTAACTTTTTGTCTCCCTACTTATTGAATCTTCTGACCTGACTTGAACCCAATTATTATTCTGACTGTTTAACTTGTAAATCATTAGTTGCTGGTTGAAATGTACGGATAATTTATAACTGGAAAAAGATTTCTTTCTAAAAAATTTAATTTTAAAACTGCGTCATTCCTTGAAAAGAAATGATTTTTAAAAGAGACAAAGAAGAATTTTTCATCTGAATGATTTTTCTCATAATGACATGGATGGAGCTCTGAAATTTGGTCCACATGAGCACTGAAGAAGCACTTCACTGTGACTCAACAAAGAGGAACATCTGAAGCTTTGAACTCATTTTTCTTCTTGTCTGTAGGGAGTTTTATCCAGTTGAATGACTCAGCAGGAATAAAAGAAGGAGGCTTCATGCTTATCTTTTCACCCCTGAGAAAGAGCTTGGATGATCACAGTTTCTAGAATTAAAAACTATTTTCAAGTCCAGTCCGTCGTTCGTTTGAGAAAAGGTCTTACTTCAAGTCCCACGTCATGGAGGGATACCATGACGTAAGGGAGTTCGTGGTGTTCGTGCAATAAAAGGTTTTCACAAGAAAATGTCATTCAAGTATTTTGTATATAACAGTTTTGATGACATTTCCCTGCAATTATTTCAGGTTTCCCACAAAAATGCTTGTTCACTGCCTAGCTATAGAAACCTCCCTAAGTCAATTGTTTTCCTATTCCCTTGAAATTTGACTTAGAGAGGTTAAACTATAAAATTGGTATAGACACCCGAGTGGGGAAATTTGTGCACAATGGGGATTTGTTTGTAATTCTACACCATGACCCTGCTGTGCACCTGACCTGTACCAATGTTTGTCTGTTGCACATGCATATCCCCAATGTGCACCAATTGTGTGTTCACACCAGGATTACTCAGGGTCACATTTGTAAACAAGTAAGTCACACCAAGGTTACAGTTGGCGCATTCGTGTGATGCTCCCGTTATTTCACATTTGTGCACCAAGTGCTGTAACAGCAAAAATAGCTCCCCACTTGGGCAGATTGTTGTAGAGAGATTCTGTACCTGTGGATATTCTATTTTTCAAAATTCCTATGAAGTATGAACTGCACTCTTTTATTGCTGCATTCAATTCTTAACAGGAATTTCATGTGCACTTCAAAAAGTATAATTTTAAGGATTTTGCTGAGAGTATATACATCACAGGAGCAGGGATTTCTTTGGAACCCTCAAGCTTGAATGACACTTGGGGAAAATTGAAACATCTGATGTGCAATATTTATCTGTGTTGCAAAATTAGTGTTTTTCTGACTAAGTGTACCACATATTGGTGTACTGTATATACAGTATTCAAGTGGACTCTTCAAAAGTCTACAACAATTAAATTCAAGGGACCAGAAAAAAAATTGTTCCAGGGCTAATTTTGTTGCTTTGAACCCACATGCTGTATTATGGGGACAGAACCTTATTTGGGACTTATTGTACGGAGATTAACATTGTAGACAAAATTTTTGTTGAGAGAGTTCATAAGTGTAACATTTTTGAACACTGTTTGGAATAGTATTCTGCAGTTTATATTTTTCTTCAAACTTGCAATTCAATACCTTTCAAATTGTTCAGCATGTTTTGATGCTTGTCCAAGGTTTTGGAATATTTTAGCCAGTCATTTTCCGCCTTTCTAAATGAATGGTTAAATGATCTATCTTGATGCATATCATCCTAGTCGAGAAGGATTTTGAAAAATCTGTGAGAATTCATTTCTTTTGCCATGGAAAAAATGCCATGCAATTGCAACGATAAACGGATCTAAAGCAATAAAAAGTTACCTATAATTTCGAAATATTTATACAGCACAATAATAGATCATAATGATGTAAAAGCAGTAACATATGGCAAAGGAATATAAATCGTAACGGATCACTGCTGTATAAATGTTCCAGCTCTTCCGTGAAACCCATAATCATAATTCATAAAAATTCGTAAAACTTGGATGCGAACCCATTTTTAACTCGATGAGTTCGTGAAATGCGACTTACTGGAACTTGTTCGAATGTGCAGTATTCACAAATATGAGCAGGTTGATAGAAGTTGATGAAACCGGTATACCTCAGAAGACTCAGAAGTTCTGCGATGAATGGGCATTTTTAGTGGAGCGCTCTGTGAGAACGAAGCTGAGGTGAGTTCAAATATGCTATGGCGATTACCTCTGATTGACTGTCGCCGCATTGGAGGCTGGTATCCCCACCCTCAAGTGACATCTACGTTAGCATCTGCAAAGTTCCATCGCATATACTCGGGATTAGCTACGCATCGACAGGGATCGACTGAATGCGGGAGAACGGCGTACGGAGCGGCAATTCTGAGTGAGCAGTGTTTTACGGATTGCATGTGCAGTGTTTGGCTTCGTCGTGATGCACCGAAGTACGAAGGAGTGAGACTGAAAATCGTCGAAGTCATTTCTCTAGAGGTGTCCTTTATTGAATGTTGAGTTTAACGAATTGCCTTCGCGAGTTATTTGAGTTTCTTGAATGTTAAATCCAGCATCTCGATTGTTTTCGTATCAAATACAGGCTTTTCGGCTTACTCTATCGCAGCTTATTTGTTCCTCACGAATCGAATCATCAAAATTTTGCGTTTTTAAATAAAATGTGTCGATGTGTTGGCTCTTGATGTGATAGCGTGTAAGCAGTAATCGAGTTGAGGCTCAGTCATGAGTAAATATGAACTGCTGTATACCTTGAAACTTCTCGCGGATAACACACAGTAAGTAATGAATTTATCTTTCAATTCGGAGTGCTTTCGTCTCCAGCAAATACAAAAGAAGGTCCTTTGGCTCTTTACAACGGCTTGTCGACATAACCCTGAACCTTAACCTGTTCAAGCGGTCTTCTTTATGCAAAGCAGAGCTTTAGTCACTGTGTGGCTTCTTTGGAGTTCCCTACCGCGTGGGCAGCAATGTTTCTAAGTTCGACGCAATTTTGTCGTCGTGTCCTGACGAGAAGATGAAGGTAGAAGTGAAGCGAAACCTCCAAGTCTGGGATACTAAAAACCCACGGAATCTGGAGAAGTTCCTGGAACTAATCGCTTTGGTATGCAACGATCGCGAATTGCGCTCTTCGATGGAATCCGTTTTCTCGTCAAGCCGGTCATGGGTTGGTCATGCATCTTCCAGCTCCATTAGGAGTGCCCCGAAAATGGTCGACCCGAATCAGGTTGGTTGATTTTTAAAAGTGTTGTATTCTTTTCATTAATGATTTGTATTTTTCCAGGCAAAGGAAAATATAAAAGCCATCCTTGGTACTCCTCGTGTTCGTGAAAACAGCGTCGCGGAATCCTCCTCAACTTTTCTCTCCGGAAGCTTGCGTGAACCCTCTCATAATGACGTCGTGGATACTGTCCGTGCGATACCACGATCAAAGAAATTCGGAACCATCGGTCGTCTTCCAATTGAAGTTCAGGAGGTAGAATAACATCATCTAGATTAGCCTACAGATGAGCCTTTTCTTCCTAGAATGTAAAACGTACATTAGCTGCTGCTCGTCTGCTGCAAACAGCAACTGGTAAGAAACCCATGCAACTAGTGCTAAATCCTTGTTCCTCCACAGTGATTGACTAATTTGAATGCTCACAATTTTTCTCTCTGATTAACCTCTAAAAGTGATCCCCTTTGTTGCGAATTGACCAGTGGGATGATGTTTGAAATACCGTATATAACTTGGCCCGAACAAACCGAAATGCTTGACTCCTAAGCTGTTGACGTAAAAGTGGCGATTTTATATTGTGTCGATGACACCTGAAGTTATTCAGTGCTAAAGTTCATGAGCTGTATGTTTTTTACGAAGATTCCAAATCTGTTCAAGTGTTTGAGTAAATAGTTTTTAGCTCTTCGGAGTTCCCAACCAGTCGTAAATCTCCGTGGACATTTTAAAGGGCTATATTAAAAATTTATTAGTAAAGCAAGACAAAGTCTACTAGAGAACCGCTTGGTTTACAAAGGATTCATTCCATTACTCACCAACATTCGCACGCTGCATACATTTGTGGAATTTAGCTGGAATAATAAAAAGAAGTGTGGGCGAATAATTCAGAGCATCGCGGGATACATTCGTAAAACCATTTACGAATTCCGATTTCTGGTCGATCAACTGGACGACGAGCGTCGTAGTCGTGGCCTGAAGCTTCTCGCCATTTGGGCCGGAGTGCAAGATGCAGTTCTGAATTTCGACGTTTTAGCTCGCATCGCAAGAACCATCATGTCGATCGATTTGCGCAGTGGTGCCTTGCTGTCATTTTTGCGCCGCGGAGATTTTTCCGCGTTTTCTGACGGGAAGGTTCAAAGGATGATGACCTTCGTGCAAAATCGTGCTTACGCCCCATTTTTGCACATGTTGGAGTGTTGGATTTATCGTGGAATGCTGGACGATCCTTACGAAGAGTTCTTTGTTGTGAGGAACCAAGAATTCGCCACCGAAAATGTTTCTGCTTATTATTCTGAAGATTACTGGACTGGAGCTTACGGAGTGCCTGTGACGGAAATGGTCCCCGATTTCCTTCAGGGTCAACTCGCTTTGCAAGTTTTGAACACTGGGAAGTATATTAATGTGATAAAGAAAAGTGGACACACGTTCAGGTGCCCTTTCGAAGCTCCGATTCCGTTCAGCGACTCGGACAAGCCAACTGTTGAAGCCGTGAAGAAAGCTCATGCCTACGCTTCCAATGCCCTAATGAAAGTTCTCATTGACGAGCACGATCTTCTCGGGATCTTGGGAGCGATCAAACATTATTTCCTCATGGACAAGGCTGATTTTATTGAGGAATTCATGCTGTTGTGTGATAATGTGGAACTCGGAGGCTGCATCGGAGACGTGAATCTTACAAGGCTGAATACGTTGTTGGAGCTCGCGTTGCGGATTTCCATCGGCGAGAATGAAGTTTACAAGGACTATTTGAAAGGGAGTCTCAAGCAATACGGACTGGAGGCTGAACTGTGCAAAATAGTGTCGATTTCAACCAAGCAAGAGCACGAATGGGACGAGAATATGAAGAGCATGTCTGTACCGGTGTGGGAAGCGTTCACGTTGACGTACGACGTACAATGGCCGATTAGCCTGGTGATCGAATTGAGGTCCATGACGTGTTATCAGATGCTTTTTCGGCATTTCTTTCACCTGAAACGAGTTGTGAGATTATTGACGCGATTGCGAATTTCTCCGCGTCCTCGGAAGATGACCCGGACTGGTCAGAGTGGATTGGTGAGAGCTTTGTATGGGCTCAGACTCAAGATGGTGCACTTGGTGCAAACGCTGCAGCATTGCATGATATTCGACGTGGTTGAACCTGCCTGGCGGGAGATGATGACGAGAATTGGGCAGGTTAGTTGATTTATGTCTGATCGTCAAGCACAAGTGCCTCACATTAATGCAATGAAATACTTTACTGTATATGATCTGGCGAATAAAGTATGGAAAAAGCATTATCGACATTTGCTTTTTTTTTTTTAGAAATTCAGTGTTTCAAACATGGTACAGTAAAACACTTGAAAAGGCCAGAAAAGAAATATCTTGAATATATGCAGCGTAAGTTTGAAACAATTTTCTCAGTCATTTATTTTGAAAATCTGGTTATAACAAATTATTCAGTATAACAAACATTTTCTGAAGTCTGCACAAGTTCATTGTGATACAAATTTGCTGTATATGATCTCGCTAAGAAAGTATGGATAATGCATCCTTGACATTTGTATTTTTAGAAGATCAGCTTCTTGAATATGGTAAGAAACCTTAAAAAGGTCAGAAATGAAAGGTCGGAAGATATGCAGTCGAATTTGAAATAGTGTTCCCAGTCATTAATTACGAAAATCTCATAACAAATTATTCCTTATAACAAAACTTTTTCTGAAGTTTCCACAACTTTGTTGTCACAAGATTTTACTGTATATGATGTTCGCAGTCATTAATATAAAAAATTTTGGTGTAGAAACTTGTTCTGAAGTCCCCTCAAGTTTATTGTAACAAGATTTAACTGTATAACGATTTAAAAGAGAAGAAAGTTTAGTGCATTTAGATCTTGGCCCCATTTTTATTTTAATGCGTGATCCGATAAATTTTGGAATCCTTTTTTTTTGTTGCGACGAATTGAAATTGTGTGAATATTTTTTTTGCTTTCGAATTTTCAGGCAGTTGCAATGGATCAAGTGATCACAATGCACAAGGATTTCATCGACGCTTGTCTCAAGGATTGTATGCTGACTTACCCTCGGGTGCTTCAAATATTAAGGGGCATCTTCAACGTTTGCATGGAGTTCTGTAACTTGGTAGAAGTATGTATTGTACTGGACAGTACAGCATTTCTTTCGGTTCCTGTATATTATAAATTATTGAGCGAACTTTTTCGCCTGTAGAAATCTGCTGGAATCGATGGCGTCAAATTCGACAAGAATGAGGAGCTGAGAGTGGAAAAATTGGATGTTGCGTTTTCAACCCTCGCGTTGGAATTGATTAATTTGGCTTCTGATGACGCTGGTGTCATCAGTGCCACGGTGAAAAACATGCTGCGAAGGTGCGTTCGAATTTTCTCGCTTGGCTAGAGAATTGCAAATTAATTTTTTGTCAATCTTTCTCACAGGCTAAATTACAACGCGCATTACTCAGATGTTCAGTGAGCTTCGTGTCGGAAACTGGAGTAGGCTGCAAGTGATGTTCAATTTCCCACCTCCGTCGCGTTTAAAATATTTTGGTAAAAGAAAATTTCAGCATTTCATAAGCTTTTTTCATTGATTGTGAACATTTTTATTTGCGGGTGCCGGTCTTGTGTTTCATTGGGAAGTTCATTTACCCACACTGCAGCATATCGGTCCACAGAAACTAAAAAACTGCACAGATACGACTTCCTGATCATATTCAGGGAATGAATGTAAACTTGTGAAGTAATGCTATTCTCGCCGTAGAATTTAGTGAAGTTTTTGCCGTATTTTCAACATGTTTTGAAACCGGATTTTTGTAGAAGGTTAACTTTCCAATGCGCGTCTGCTTCGATTTAAGGAAAATGAAATTCATGCAATGCAAAAGTGCTGGTTTCCTAACTTGAAAACTCCTGAAGTCAATTTCCGTAGTCTCATCAATCGAGCTTTTTATTCTCGCATATCCTTAGTCATTTTTTTGGCTGCTAGAAAAGTCTACATCAGGTCTAAAGTTCTGCAGTGGAAATCACACCAAATCGGCTCCCATCTGTTGTTCAGCAACTGGTTGGAAAAAATATTGTAGTCTTCTATGACCCTCTATTTTCCAGGAGAACTCTGCGTTTGTTGACTAAGCAAACGCAGAGATGGATTCGCGGCGTTGCTACCTGTGGATGTTGTTGATTCTTTTTGAAGCTTGTTTGATAAACGGAGAAATGTTCGACGGTTGGAAAGAGGGGTTGTTCTCTTTGGGCGAAGGGATCGCGACTGTGGCGCGGACTGTTGTGGACGTCGGCACCATCATCAACGACGCCGTCGAGGAGGACTGCGAATATTCGTGTCCGTCGGGGTTTGAACCATTGCCAAGAAGAGACCATGTGGCGACGGCAAATGGGTGCGGCTCTTACGGGTTACAGGTGGGGAACCTTGGGACACCTGTTTTTCTTTCAATTTTTCGAGTCGGGCTCAAGAGTGTGAACACTACTTGATTGGCTTCTCATTCAGATATACGGTACTCTCTCGAGCGTGATTCTAAAATTTGGCTGAGAAAAGCTTATTCTTTCATGACACATTTTGTACCTGTATTTTTTTTGGGGTCTCAAAAACGTAAATTTTGTAGGCAAATCTGAGACAATTTTTTGGCATTTGATTGACGATTAAGAAAGTTTGTTCAACAGCTCTGGTGAAAATCTTCTTTAAAATACAATCAACCCTCGATTTAGTGCTTCCCAATTTAGCGCCACAAATTTCTCTGGTGAAAATCTCCCTCCATTATGTTCTTGAGGAAAACCATGATTTAATGCCACAAAAAGTTGTTTTCATGTTTACAAAAAGGGCAGAATTCGAAGTAATCCAGACAATTTTACACAGATATCATTGGATTATAAGAATTTTAACTCAGAATCTCATCCCCATACTTACATGAAACCGAGGATACGTGTGAAAGATCTATTTTTGAATTTACGTTATTGAAAAATATTACTTGTTGCATGATCCCCTCCTTCATTGAAAATATCAAGCTTCTGTGGAAACTGGTGATTCATTCATGATGGCACTTCGAATAAAACTAACTTGAATGCACGCAAAATCTTGAGAAACAGCTGTTATCTTTTAGTAGATATCGTGTGTTTAAAAATCTATTACAGTACATTCAGCATTGATACACATAACAGAAGAATTAATTATAAAAAAATTACCTGTGAGCTTTAAATCCTTTATTTTGGCTTTTTCTCTTTGAAAACACCCTGCTGATGGCCTACGAATTCTGCAAACAAGTTTGTTTCCTTTCTAATGGAAACCCTGAACTAGACCTCTCTATCATACAATTCCCTCGTTTTAGTGCCTTTCTTGATTAGTGCCACAAAATGTGCCAGGACAAACTTTGGCACTCAATCGGGGTTTGACTGTACTGTAATAGTAATATTATTTCTTCTGAGTTTAATTTCATTCGAACGAAAATTAAAACAAGCCTTTATTTTACAGTTCCTGATTCCAGTCAACTTAATTTGAGGATATTATCATTTGAAGATTTAGCGTTTTCTGTACCACCCTGTTCAATGTAGTTTTTTGCGTATTGTGAATCGAGTAACTGTTTTTAATCCTGTGAAACGAACAGTTTCACTTTTCAAAAGCTTGAACTCGGTACTTAATGACAATTGTTGATTTCTTGAAATGTTCTAGCTTCAAGATGTCGGGATTACCGGTGTGAATTTTGATCCCTGCTGCAACTCTCATGATATTTGTTATGACACATGTGGAACTGACAAGGATATCTGTGATCTGGAG